AAATGGGACTGTAGTTTTCTTTCATTGTTGAGTCTGTGTGGTTCAGATATCAGGATTACTGTGGCCTCATAGAATGAGTTTGGCAGTGTTACTTGGTTTTCTATTTTGTGGAGTAGTGTGAAGACTACTGATGTTAACTAGTCATTGAAAGATGGTAGAATTCTGCACTAAAACCATCTGTCCCTGGGCTTTTATGGACGAGAGTATTGTGACGACTGTTTCTATTTCTATGGGGGTTATAGAACTATTTATATTGTTTATCTCATCTTGATTTAACTTTGGTAAGAAGAGTCTATCGAGAGAAACATCAATTTTCTTTAGATTTTCCAATTTTGTGGAGTACAGGCTTTTGAAGCTAGATGTAAGGATTTTTTGGATTTCTGCACTGTTGTTGCTAAATTCATTGTTAATTTCTGATTTTGATTTTATGGATACTGTCCCTCTGTCTTTTAATTACTCTGGGTAATATGTGTCTATTTTGGTGGATTTCTCAAAGAATCAGCTCTTGCTTTTGTGATTCTTTATATTGTTCTGTTTTCAGTTGATTGACTTCAGCTGTGGGTTTGACTATTCCCTGCCTTCACATCCTCTTGCCTTATATTTGCTTCTTTTTTGTTCTAGAGCTTTCAGATGTGCTGTTAAGTTGCTAGTATAAGATCTCTCCTATTTCTTTATGAAATCACACAATGCTATGAACTTTCATCTTAGCACTGATTTATTTGTGTCCTATAAGTTTGGTTACGTTGCGCCTTCATTTTCATTAAATCTTCAGAAGTCTTTAATTTCTTTACTGCTTCCCTGAACCAGTGGTCATTGAGTTCAGAGTTTTCAGTTTCCATGAAATTGCAGTCTTTCTGTCATTACTGTTGTTGTCTAGCTTTAATCTATAGTGATCTAATAAGATGAAAGAAGTGAGTTCAATCTCTTTGTATCTCTTGAGGCTTGCTTTATGACTGATTATATGACCAATTTTGCAGAAAGTTCCTTTAGGTGCTAAAAAGAGTCTTATGTGTTTGGATGAACATATATATATATCCACACACACACTTGGGTCCATTTGGTAGTGTGTGTGTATGTGTGTGTGTGTTCCCATTCTTTTGATTTTATTTGTGTGAAAGAATGTGATTTTTAATACATCTTGGGTTAGAATTTTTATTGTCAAATCTTATGTATCTTATGTAAGGGTGGATTATTGGAAAGATTTTGTATACATTTTGTTTTCTCATGGGATATCTTGTTTTCTCCATCTATGATGATTGAACATTTTGTTAGGTTTAGTATTTTGGGCTGACATCTGTGGTCTCTTAGGGTTTGAAAGACATCTGCCCAGGCTCTTCTGGCTTTTAAAGTCTATTTTCAGAAGTCAAGTATAATTCTGAAAGGTCTGCCTTTGTCTGTTACTTGGTCTCTTTCCATTGAAGCTTTTAGTATTCTTTAATTTTCTGTACATTTAATGTTTTGAATAGTATGAGGTAGGAGGATTTTCTTGCCTGGACAAATCAGTTTGCTGTTCTGTAAGCTTTTTATACTTTTATAGCCATCGCTTTCTTTAGGTTAGGGAAATTTTTTCTATGATTTTGTTGATATTTTCTGAGCCTTTGAGTTTGGAATCTTTTCCATCTCTATTCCTATTATTTTTAGGTTTGGTATTTTCATATGTCCCAAATTTCCTTGCTGTATGTGTTAGAAACTTTTTGCTTCAGCATTTTGTTTGAAAAACGTATCAATTTCTTCTATTGTATCTTCTATACCTGAGATTTTTCTCTTCCTACTCTTGTTTATTTCCTATTCACTTTCCACGATTTTCCATCTCTGGGATTGCCTCAGTTGAGATTTCTTTATTGCTTCTATTTCTATTTTTAGGTCTTGAACTGTCTTATTCATTTCTTTTCCCCATTTGGTTGTTTTTTCCTATAGTCTTTTATTTTTGTTCATTTCTTCTTTAAAGGATTCTATCAATTTGACAGTGTTTTCCTGTACTTCTTTCAAGGCCAATATCATCTATGTAAGATTAGATTTAAGACAATTTTCTTGCAATTCAGGTGTGTTAGAATTTCCTGGGCTTGTTACAGTAAGATAGGTGGGTTCCTGGTGGTATCATGTTGCTCTGGCTTTTGTCAGTTGTGTTCTTACAATAGCCTTTAGCCATCTGTTTTTTCCAATGCTACTGGAGCTATTAGTCCCTGATGTGGGAAGGCCTCTAACTGTGCTACAGTTAGAGTTACTAGTCTCTGATGTCAACAGGCCTCTGGGATTGCAGCTGTAGCTCATTGTCCCTGGAGGCAGCAGGTTTCTAAGGATACAGGCAGAGGTGTTAGTCCCAGATGCTTCAGTCCTCCAGAAATGCAGGTGTATTTGTGACACAGGAAATAGAGGGCACAGGGGGAAGAGCTGAACTCATACCTGCTTGATATGACTACTAAATATAAACTACTAGAACAGTAGACTCTAAGCAATGAGAATTTCCCCAGGAATCTCATCCTGGGAAAAGGAAAAGTGTGAGCCCTGGGAGGCAAAATGTCTTCATAAAAGAAATACCATACAGTTCTTACAACTTTTCATACCACTTTAGATGATCAAACTGAAACCAAGACAGAGCTATAACACTGGACCTGTTCTGATGTTCACTATTTCGGCCCTTTAAATATGAATTTCATTCGTAACGCATGAAACTAAGATGAATTGAACTTTCTGTGTATCTCTTTGTCCCTCTTCCCAATACATTGATAAATTTGCTTTTCTATTCTCTCTACTTTTAGCATGGTTCTTTTATTGGCTTATTGCACATAGATTGCTACCCTGGACATAGGACACATACTATGATCCTCATATTTAATAATGCTGAAGGCACCATCAAAACAGCCATTTCTCTCAAAAAAACTGATTCATTATAACGGCATTGTGACTGAAAATGTATTTAAAGCTACATGGAAGTACAGATAAAAAGATCATAATTCTTTCATTATATACTTTAAAAACAACTATAGACTGGGAACTACATGCTTATATTTCTTATAACAAAATCTGATTCACTAATATCATTCAACTATTCTTATAGTTACATATGTTGTCACATAAAATACATGAGGTAAGTAACAGTTATTTCACATCCACTGTGTGCTTTTACCCAGTATAGCAGTAAATTTACCAATTGAAACTAATATATACTAACATGTGCCTAAGATGAACTCAAATCAATAAACTTGCCTAAACAGTACAAACACAAGATACTTTTGGTCTTGGAAACCTGATATAATCTATTATATCAAACCCAGGAAATTGTTACTTCTTGTGATAATTAACATTTTAATGATTATAAACATTTAAAGGAGGTTGGTATATTGCTTTCAATTTATGATGTTATGTGTTACACATCAACTTGACAGGACCTATGATAAATTTGGAAATAACTCTCTGTGCATGTCTATAAAATATTCTCTAACTCTTGTTAATTGAAGTGGTAAAAACTCACTTTACCTCTAAGCAGCACCACTTTATTGGTTCTGGCCTAGAATGTATAAGAACATTGTTACTGCATGGTCTTCATCCCTCTGTATTTCCTGACTCTGGAAATGATGTGCCTGTCAACCTCATGATTCTGGTACCACGGCTTTCTGACCACAATGGACAATGTTTTCAAACTACAACCCAAAATAAGTCTCCTTTTGGTAAGTTATTGTGTAAAAGCAATGGGGAAAAAAGTAATTGATAAACACCTTTGCAAAGTAAAATTGAAAACATCAACAATTTGGTGTATTTCCCTGGTAGAAAAATATAATCTGCATTCTTTTATCTCAACCTTTAGAGTGGAACACAACCACATTTTCTTGCCCAATTTCTGCCATTTGATCAGGGTTAAGCACATTAAACATTTGCTATAGAAGATCCTGCATACATTTCCTATGATTAACTAGAATGATCAAGTGAAATTAGAACATAAAGGGCTTGGGTTAAAGCATCCTGAAATAAGTAGAAAATTTTTGAAAAGGAAAAAAATAATTAAATTCTCTCTTTAAGGAAAAGGATCATATTCTCTTAGGGGTCCAGGTTCTTATGATTACAAATACAATACAAAACAAAACAAACAAAAAAAAAACAAACTACAGGTTCAATACACAAGTACATTTCCCATTAGTTTTAACTAACATAACAGTTCCAAGAATTCAAAACCACAAATCCAAAAGGCCCCTCTGAGACACAAAGCAGTATCGTTTGATAATTCTCCCCACTTCTTTACTGCTGTGGAAACATGTTGCGGCCAGCTGGAGTCGATCCTTCCATTCCCATAACCTTTAGAGAATAGTGGAAGAAATAGTGATGTGGAAACTTGGTGCTGAATCATCTTCCACCTATCACAGAACAGAATTCTAAATTTGGTTTTGTGTGTGTTCAATGAAATCACCATTTTTTCCGCTATTGAAACAATAACTCTACATATAAATAGCTGTAAAGGAAAAGCTTTCATCCATGTACCCACTTCAGACACACTGAGAAACTATGAAGATCATCATCTTCTTTGCTTTTCTGGGAGCTGCTGGTGAGTCTTTCAAAGAACATTTCATCAAATGTGTATCATATATACAAGCTTGTGTTTTTGTGAGTGGAAAAACAGTAACAGAACTGAGTAAATATTCCATGTGCAAGGAGCTAAAAGTGAGCAGTCACCACTATTTACTACATTTATGTATTGCACAGGTTAGTTGAGGAAAAGTAAAAACAGTACAAATGACTCAAATGGGCATCCTGACATTTCTGTGAAGAAGTGGTTATAATTGGAATTATTTTCTGCTCCAAGAAGAGGGAGGAAACATTAATATATAATTATGTGGAAAATCAAATGCTGCTTATTTACATGAAATTATCATAATTAGAAGAGTTAGAGTATTAACCATACATAAAAACTTTAGGTTCTATTTCACAAAATCTTTACTAATAAAATCAGTCCTATATCATTGTTGTTCAATACTGAACAACAGAAAAAGTGAAACTGGGGAGTGGGAGTAATACATCTAATATAACAGTACATTTTCACAATAAAAATGGGTTTTGATTTGTAACATCTCTTGTGTTTGGAAAATTCAACAATTATTTTTAAAAATTGGAATATTTAGCTCACATAGATTTACTATGGTCTTTAGAATTATATTAAATGAAGGAGGTAGTTATGATCAATTTAAATTCTATACATATATTGAAGTTAATAACAAGAAAAATATTCAAACTTTTGATGAATCAGTGTATGAAAATGTTAATACATTAATATATGTTGAGTACAAAACTGAAATAACAGGAAAGTTTGGGGAAGAAATACCTAGAATTCTGATTAAATGATTTATACATATTTTATCCAATAAATTAACCCAACCAACCATTTGTATGTGTTAGGTTTTAAAAAAATTAAAGATAAATTTAAAAGTACTTTAAATGTGCTGAAAAAAATGTTCCTTTGAATGAAGGCTTGCCTCTAATCCTTGGGACTCAGGAAAGATACTGAGACCCTGTAGTGAACAGATAAAACCAATAATGAAAGTAGATTTGACCTTCCAATGGAGCATTATGCTACACAAAATCACACACAAACATATACATGCACACACACACACACACACACACACACAGAGAGAGAGAGAGAGAGAGAGAGAGAGAGAGAGAGAGAGAGAATGAATAAATATTTTTTAATTTCAAACTGATTCACAGTAATATTAAGAGAGTATACGCTAAAATTAGAACATTATACCTTTCAAAACACTACAAACATACTTTACACAACTGGAAGGTATGTGTCTTTTCTAGTTGGTCAATAGAAACTTTATTTGGAAGACTAAATTTGAAACAAGTGTTCTTGTGCTAAATATACAAAACTCTCCCCCAGTTGCTCTCCCCGCTAATGATGATGATGACAAGATCATTGGAGGCTACACATGTCCGAAGCATTCGGTTCCTTACCAGGTGTCTTTGCATGATGACACTGGCCATCAGTGTGGTGGCTCCCTGATCAGTGAACAGTGGGTACTCTCTGCTGCTCACTGCTATGAAAGGTAATGAAAAAAAATACTCAAATTCCTATGCTCTAAGGCCATGCTGTCCTCTGGTACCACCTTAATGGCATGGTCCTTTGTGACTCTGTACTGGCAGGGCACACACAATGGAATCCTCTATCCTGAACATTGGTTGTAGGGCACAATACACCTTAACTGGATAGACCTTATAGTACTGGATGCTTTCAGAAGATGACTTTTCTTTTTATGTCAAAAACTTTCAGCTTGGTAAAGAAAAACATTTACAGGGAGACTTAGAAATCCTTTATTTTCTAATGCAGGAGACTCCAGGTTCGCCTTGGTGAACACAATATTCATGTCCTTGAGGGTGGTGAGCAATTCATTGATGCAGAAAAGATCATTCGACATCCAAAATATAACAAGGACACTCTGGACAATGACATCATGCTGATCAAGCTGAAGTCACCTGCCATCCTTAACTCCCAAGTATCCACAGTCTCTCTGCCCAAATCCTGTGCATCCACAGATGCTGAATGCCTTGTGTCTGGATGGGGAAATACTGTGAGCTTTGGTGGTAAGAGTCAATGGAATTAAAGTTCAATGTGTAAAAATCTAAGAGGCAAAAGGTATGTTGGTTGTCAACATGGCAAAATTGTCATTGTGAGAGATACTTCTAGAAGTTTTCAACATAGGCAGGCTTGGAACTTATAATTTGTAGGCCATAACACTTCTTCACTGAAACCATAAGGAAATAAACAATAAATATGAGCTATTAGCAAGATGTTAAAGTATTTACCTGGTGGGAGCAGTTATATTAGGGAGATGAAAACTCAAGTGATAAATAGAAGAGAAGCTCAGGATTTGTTGTTTCCTGAGGAATCTTTCTCATGGAGGAAATACTATGCTCGTATTTGAAATCCAAATCCAAAATGTTATTGTCATAAAAGAATAGCTTGTTTAAATTATTAGAAAAAATGTTGAAGAGGAAAAGTACTTCTGAATTATGGTGTTTGACAAATAGAAAGAATTAGAAATTTCACAGAATATTTGAAATGATCTTGG